AACATTCGCAGAAGTTAATTCATTTGCCAAAGATCTAAAACCTACTAAGTGGCATACACAGAGTTGGAACCCAATTCTCTCCATGGGGTCCATAGTCATACGTTAACTCCTGACCTTTATCAAGTCTTAGGATTTAGCTCAGCAGGCTGTTTGGAAATCAACCCAATACTCTCAGTAAGAGTAAAAAGCTTTATGATAAAGATACTCATCATCATCACCACCACCACGGAAAAACTCTAGCTTTAACAATGCCTTCATTCTACAAAATAAAGAATCAGAAGATTAAGGAAGTAAAGACACTTATCTACCATTACCAGCTAGTAAATTATCACGGTAATGCACAGGTAATCCAAAGCAAATCTAAGGGCATAAAATTAGAGTTCTTTGTAAGAATGAAGGCTGGTATAATCTCCCAGAAATTTTTATACCTTAACAAAATATTTTATTCACCAAAATAATTATTTTAAAATCATTTTGGTTTTGATAAATTAGAAACAAATTAGAATCTAATGTCAAAAGATGCTTTCTTGCTTTTTCAACTCAAGGGCAAAGGTCTTTTTGGTTTACTGTGTTTCATTTGCATCAAGAAATGTTTGTAGAATTTGATACAAATATCACATAGTTTGTAATCTGTCCACAAAGCAGGAGATTTTGTCTGGATCATTTGTGTAACTCCCATGCATAAAACAGTACTACACATACTCTATTTATTGAATAAAATGCAAATAACTTTGGAAGAAAAAAAGGGGTTCTTCAGAATCGTTCTAGTCTGTCTCTTTTAGCAGATGAGGAAGGAAATTGATGATCAAAAAGGAAAAGCTAACTGGTTAAGACCACAGGGCTAGTTAATAGCAGAGATTCAGAAATCAACTGTTTTATTAAAAACTGACGAATTTTAGGTTTATAACATACTCCTGAATAAGTACTGAAGTGAATCAGTACTTTCTTCACATCTGTCTATTCAGTGTTTATACCAGGGTTGGCAAAAGTAGATTTATAGTTGTGAATTTATTCTTGTATTATTACTTATAAGATATTATTTGTATTACATCTGTAAACCTACTTTTGTCCACCCCTGTATATTCTGATTAATACTGTTATGATACAAAGGTGAGAACTGAGTCATTCTTTTAAATACTTTATAGACTAAATGAGGCGGCAGACTTTGTATACGGCCCATCACAACGTCAGTGAAGACAGCAGTGCTGGCTACAGGTGGGTTAAGAAGAGGCTTCCTGGAGGAAAAGAGGGTTAGTTGAGGGGGAGAGAATTTAAGATAGAGGGAACAGATTTAGCACAAGCAACAAGACAGTTGTTTAAAATGTGATCTATCAAGTAGTTTAATTTACCTACACTGTAGTGTTATTGAATGGCAACTGATATTGTAAACTAAAATAAAAGACTAAAAAATACTGTTTTTCAGTACTACCTTGAAGTATTTTCTACTGACATCACACCACTCACTTTATTATTATTTGCTTGCTATCAAATATGAGTAAGCTAAAAAACAATAAATAAAAATAGTCTTAAAGTGTCTACATTTTTAAGTGCTTTATATTATTACTTTATAAATTTAGAAATTAAAGCGTTTTTGCTTTCCAAAGTAACTTGATGTTTTAGAGTCAAGATTTAACTATTTCATTGTTCAATGATACACTATGGAGATAATGTAACATAAAGTGCCCTGGACTCCTGAACTCAGAAATCCTGGGCTTGCATTCAATGAGTTAATGGCTGTAAAAAGAAAGCCCGGCTTAAAATAAGTCCTCAGTTGGTACTTATTATTTTTACTGTTATGGATGTTCTTGCTGTAGTGCAATGAAGACCAGTAGAAACAAAGTATTTATAACATGTTAGAAAATATTACTATTCACAAGTAAACCTACTACATGTTATAGATATATACCTTTATGTTAAGTAAATTATCCAAAATGAGCAAGCTTGAGGAAATAATTTTCTAAGCCATCTATGTTTTTTCATGTATTTCTGAGATACTTTTGCTTTCCTGCCAAATTGCTAATTCTTTATTTCTGTTCTGCCTCCAACATTTGCTAGTTTCCAACTAGATTAAAACCTTTTTTTTATAATTAGTAATTTTGGCTTCTATAATTCTGTTTTGATTTCTATTTTTTCCATTATACATTTCTATTTTCAAACCACATGATAAAAAAAACAGTTTCCCTTAGGTTGAAGTTTACAGACAAGGTCTTGTCATAATTTTTTTAAAGCAAACAAAAAAATTAAACCACATATTTTTAAATTAAAACAAAATGCCCCCTGACGTTCTCCAATACCTACAGTGGGGAGTGAGAGAGATGTGATTTCAGAATTTTGGGCAACCAAACATTAAGTGATTTACCAATATAGAAAAGCACTATGGATTTTATAGAATCGATTTTTGTTTTTGTTGAGAGATTGCACTGTCAAAATAACTTCAACATATGATCTGCATGCTTCCATATTTAAATTACGGGGTGATATAACCAATGTATATAAATTACGGAGAAGCCACAAGGAGAATTAGTGTGAAATTCCCATGATTTGTGAGGGGAAATTTTAAATTAGTCCTTTGCTGGAGTGAAAAAGGCTGTCAAATGTACAATTTGTATCATTTCCCTTCCTGTTTGAGCTTTCACCTCATTCTGCTAATTGTTAATATCTAAAGCTATGCAATACAATGACACCATGGCAAGATAATCCTAGTAAAAAGGGTAGCTAGTAAGAGTGTATTCAGTTATATTAAGCCATTATAAAGAGATAAAGTGGGGCCCCACGTTGTTATGAATGTTTCATGCTATACTAAAGATGAAAGAGGAGTTAGAGATAAGGCAACCAAAAACAAGAAACAGAGGAGTAAAAAACAGGCAGAAAGGGGGTTTACAAGAGAAGGAATGAAGACTGAAATAACAAGGTGCAAAACAAGATACAGTCAAGTGTTGTGACAGAGTCGAGTGTTGTGGGGTAAACTCATCACACTATTTACAGTCCATTCAAAAAGAGTTTATAATTTATTACTTAACATTTCTAAAGTCATTATAGTCAGCTTGTTCAAAATTATATAATGTATATTGTATGTTCATTATTTTTTATTGGTATTTCACGGGTTATGACTACATTATCTTTTCCCCTGAAGTAAACTGCTGAATTGAATAATGCAGCTTAAACCGTATGCTTCTGTGGTATTAACTTGTTAATTCAATTATTTAAACATTTGTGCTGGGACAGTCTGTTTTGAGGGTTAAGATCTTGCACTTGGTAGCTAAAGTGCCTCATGTCCAATCCAGGCTTTGCCACTAGTGAAAGTGAGTAAATACCTCACCTTTCTGTGCCTCAGTTTCCACACATATGACATGGGGATAATTAATAACGTATAAGGTTGCTGTGAAGATTAAGTGAGTTAATATACACAACCTGCTTAGAATAACACCTAAGAGAGTAAGGGCTGTAAGCCTGTTAACAACTAGGAAAACGCTGCAGTGCCTGATCCCAAGGAGCATATCGCCTGCAGGGGAAGGAGCCTCATAGCACTCTGCTTAGACCTCACCTGGGACACTCAAAAATATTTGGGAAGTAAATTTCATTGGCCCTATGATACTAAGCAACCAGGAATGTATACATGCCTTCAAACAGGAGAATAAATAAGCCAACTACTTTAAGATGAATTTTTAAAAGTAAGAGAAGCAAGATTGTACTTGAGGCAGGCGTGGCATTTATTCAGAAGGGACCCCTAAAGTTTGGTCTCCTAGCAAACGGCAGCAGCAAGGCTGAGCCCACAGCAGCCCCTGTAGACTGTCCTGTAAGGAACTACCTGTGTGATCACAGACCATTCCTTCCAGTACCTGGGTCTGGTTTCCCAGCTTCTAAAATGAAGTAGAACAAGGTGATCTCTAAGGATTTTTTGTTCACATACAACATTACATGAGTAAGTCTGGTGAATTTATCTGGAGAAGTGAAGGTCTCAAGATAGGTGTTTAAGGGTCAAAAAGGCATCAGAAGCCAAAAATAGAACAAAAATAAAGAACTAAATTCACACTAACAGAGTATGAATTTATAGTTGAAGAAAATGAATACCTTAAGTTTGGGACTGAGATGATTTTGTTACCGAACTGTCAAGGTATTCCACAGACATAGATGTTACATTTTTGTTATCAAAGTGGTGTCTCACAATGCGTAGCATTGGACAATGAGGAACTAAATACTAAATAGCAGGTGGCTTGTTCCTTATAATATGTGCCCCAATCATGTACCAAATATAGCTATCAATAATTCAGTATTAGGAAAAAGTAATGTTCATTTAGAAAAATGAAAATATATTTTATTTACATATATTAAAAAGTATGAAAAAGAAAAATCTCTAAATTAAAAGGAAAATAAGAAGATAAAATAATTTCTATTCTTTGAAATGAGAGTTCCCATTATAAAAGCATGTGTTTTTTAACATGATAAATATTACAATTATGACCACTACTAATTCTATATACATTTTAAGAAACAAAGGGTTAAATGTTTCCTTCAAACAGTGAGAAACTTCAAAGCTGAAAAGACAGCATAGAAAAGACATTATTTTTAAGTGGAATAAAGGTTTCATATACTATATTTTATACTAGGTTATGTATGGGTGAGTCATAAAACATTAACCACAAAGACAAACAATTGTGCCAATTTTTAATACATTTTTTAAAAGTTAACAAGGGAAGTAATTCTGAATAATTAAAACGTAGAGTAATTGACAAACATATGCTATTGAAGGATGCTACTTCAGTTGTTGCAGTGCATAACAAGGAAGAAAGCCTAAAATATTTTTAAAAGAATGGCTCTGAAAGAAAACAATAACAAAATAAATATTTTAGTAAAATAAAAATCTAACAAGCACGAAAAAATTCTGGAGTTTAAAATTTTTATTTCTAACTATTAGAGATAATAAAGCCCATACAAGCCCGTTTAAGAGTAGACACACCACACCATTTTTCTAGATCAGTATTGCATGCAGTTTTCCATACCTGTGGGTAGCTGTCAGTCCTGGGCAAAACCGATATATCATAGGTGGCCGCAAAATGGCTTTTAGCTTGTTGTATTTGGCCATAACGTTCTCTCTTCCTCCACTTGGCCCTTCGATTTTGAAACCAGACCTAATTTTTTAAAGAAGTAGAATTTTAGCTAAAGAACACTTGATAATACTAATGGGATGTTAAAATACTTCAAATCAGAAAGGTAAATCAGATCAATATAATTACTAATAAAAGAAATTTCATTATCAGAAAAGGATCCACAAATTCAACTGTCTATTTTATCTTGATGGAAGTGGTATGTACATGAGACAGTATAACTTAATATAGAGATAAGATACTTTCAAAACAATTATTTAATATATCTGAGCCTCTGTTTTATCATTTATGAAAAATAAAAAGAAATTAGATTACATGATCGTGAAGACTGTACATTCCAAATTATCATAGATACTCCCCCTCCCAAAGAATGTTGCAAATCTGAAAATATTCATGACTTTTTAGTTTGGGGTTATGCATATAATGTTAACCCAGCCAATTTATAAACAAATGAATATCTGGGTCTGTCAGAACAATGATTTTTAAAGCATTTCACAAAGTGAACCCTCTTATTCATTGTAACCATACTAAGATACCCTTAGAAAAATTTAAACACAAAGATTACATCTAAAACATAGAGCATCAGCAGAAATATCACATGATGATTTAGAAACAGATAATATTATGATCATGTATAATACTGAGCATGATAAAGACAAAAGGTAAAATGGAATCATCTGAAGTTAAATTACAGTTTTAAAATATATAAATGTGCTTATTACACAAATTATACCTTTGTAGAAAGTTCTCAGCAATCTTCAAAATCATTTCTCCAATTTAAAGGACTTACAGGTAGTATACATAATTTTAAAAAACAGACGAGATAGAGCCAAGTGTGAAGAAAGCCTGTGAGTTAATGGGGCCTATAGAGACTCACCAGGCTCTCGTTCTAATTTCTCTACTTACATGCTAATATTTATCATAACAACTCTCTTCCATAAAGGGTTAAATAGTCACTAATTCATACTTACAGCTCTCCAGAATCTTCATTTTAATATTTTAATGCATTAAAAGAAGATACAGAAAATTATCTTCAATATATATAAATTATTTCTGAGTAGTCATTTCACAAGCAGCTTCCAAGAAGCTCTTTAGCCTTTACAGAACTATGTGCGGAATATATAATGTTTAGGAAAGAAACTGGAAATCCAATATAAAAAATGCAAATTGTAAAAAGCTATTCCTTAAAATTACTCAATATGTTTACTCTTTTTCAAATTCAGTTGTAATCCCACAAAAACATATAATATTCAGTTTAACATGTTAGCATATATGGCAAATTTAAGATGGCACTCAAAGAGTTTTCATCACTTAAAACAGAAGAAAGAGAGCTACATATTCAGTATTCTTAGTTAGAACACTGGTGGCAAATGTGCATTATGCATTATGCCCAAGCTCAAGAACACATAAACAACCCAACCAAACAAAACATACTTCCGTGTTGTCTCCACAGATAGGCACCAAGGGCATACTAAGGAAATTTAGTAGTGAGGTTTTTTTCACTGAGAAAAAAGACCTGACACTCTCGTTAAAATGGAAGCTAATTACCACTCTGATGTGAAAAGCAGGAAAGAAAATAACCTGAGTAAATTAGGTTCAGGTTGGCTCTCTGTGCATGTCCTTAGACAAAAATTAATCTGGACTTGATGAAATGTTAAGGCGAAAACATGCATTTTGCACAGCTGATGCCTCTGTAAGCAAGCATATTTCTGTAGGGTTACAAGCATATCCAATTTAAATATATGAACACAAGACAAAAAAGAACACATGCCGGGCTCCAGTTAACACTTGACAACTCTGAAATTTTCCATTAGCATCAACTTTCTATATATTTACTTCCTGAACTAAGATAACATAACCATTTGTTTCTACAACTGAAGAAAAAACCTGCTGCTTATTATTCCTGCACCACCAGATGTTGTGTTTAATGATGTGAAGGCCTTACAATGGCTTAATCTTCAGAAGAAATACTGTTACCCCACTAAGAACACATCTTTTCATGCTTTCATTCATTTCTCTATTCTAGTAGTGCATGGGAACTGCAAAATTCAATAGTTTCCTATTTAGAGTAGTAAAGATATGCCAAAGAAAAAGGCCATCCTCCCAAATTACTGTTATTTGGAACCTAATAAAATGTAGTGTAAGAATATCAACTCTAATAAAAATAAAATATGCCTAATGGGATATTTTACCCACCATATTCTTTCCTTTTCAAATGATTAAAAATTTAGTTTATTAAATCATCCAATTTGATAATTTAAATACAACTTATAAATGTAATTGAGTATGTATTATTAAGATCATTATTCCCATTACCTTTGCAAAAAGCACACAAGTTATATCGAGTTAAAATATTAAAATGGAATGTATAAGAGGACATAACTAAGGTTAGAAAATTCTAAATGAGTTAGTTATATGACCTTTCTTTAATTATGTATAGTAAAAATAGATTTCATATACAGAACAATTGGAAATTGTGGGATTGTTTCATTTTTTCTTTATTATTACTTTAACCTCAATAAAATTATAGATTTATAGACCATTATTTTTTAAAAAACTTATCAACACCTAGTATATAACCTTTAAAAAAACATCAATAGCTTATAAAATAGAAAAACAAAATAAAATACATGCTTATTAATCAGATAACTATGAGTCTGTTTTTGCCCTTTAAAATTAATTTTTGAAATCAGAGCTATGTTAAGATATTCTGTTACTTTTAAATAATTGATGTTTCTTATGTCCATGTAATAACTCAAGTATTCTTTTATTTCATGTTATGTGAATTGTTAAATTCTTTGCAAGTAAAAAGAAATCTTAGTATATCTACATGTGTACATTACATTGTTCTACATCTTCAAATAGTTCCTTTATGGCAAAATGCAACTACTGAATTATTCTAACACTGTCCTCCCCCACACCACCCCACCCCCTCCAAGGCCTTCATATGGCTCCTACCTGGACCCTAGCCTCAGTGAGCTCTGTCCTCAGAGCAAGCTGTTCTCTGACGTACACATCTGGGTAATGGGTTTTCTGAAAGACCTTCTCCAGCTCCTCCAGCTGCAAGCTGGTGAAGGTGGTTCGGTGTCTCCGCTTCTTACTGCTGGATACATTGCTGTCACATTTGTCCCCAAGTTCATCCAGTTCTCCCTTCTCTTGCATCCCTTTCACTGGAGACATCCGGAGACTGTTACAGTTGTCCATCGCTCTGTTTAGTTCGGTGTGAAGAGGCTGTCCTTCTACTTTAGTGATCCCATAGTTCACTGTACCCAGGAGGAAAACAACAGCTCTCAGCATTGCAAAGCATTTTGATGAAAGAATTAAGATGAAGTAATTTAGAGCATCAGGAAAGCGGTTTGCAAATGATTTATTTTGCCAGTATTAATTAAAATCATCACATTTATGTACAATTATTAATCCACTTTAGGCAGGTTTAAGGCCATTTAAAAATGTCTCCATGAAACTCATGTAATTTGCCAAAATTCACAGTTCTACATGGCTAATGCAATGTTTATGCACATAACTTATAATTAAGGTAGTCAGATTAAAAGATGTTCTAGATTAGAATATCCTAAGTGAGCATAGTTTTTAAAATTGAACCAAATTTACTGTAAGTTGTATATTTATTCAGTGTGGACAAAATTAATCTACTTATATGACCCAAGAAAGAATTTCAATTTTAAATAATATCTGTAAGCCAAAATCCAAACTCTTTCAAAGTTATCTTCCTTCTCTACACAAAACCTGTAGATTTCCAATATGGTATTGTTTCTACTATATTTTAACATGTCAACTGTATATTCATAGCTGCATTTAATTTTTTCAAAAAGTCATTTAAATTTACAAATGAATTTTATATCAGCTTCTGAAAGTGTTTCCTATAGAAAAGAAGACAAATAGACTTCTTCAGCTTAAAAACTTATTTGCAGTTCTTTCTAAATATGCCATATTTATTCTTAACTTATGAAATGTTTTAACACAGAAATCTTAATTTTATCCTCTAGTAAAGCACAGAAATTAAAACACCTATTAAAAGCTTACAATGAATATCATCTGGCATTCTGTTTGGGGATGTTTTAATTTCAGTGATTTCCTCCAGATCTGATTTCATGCTTGGGGTATGATATAAAACAAAACTATATGCCCCACACGCACACACATACACACACACTGAATTAACGCACATAATGAAATGGGAGGCATTAAAAAAATAAGTAAAGTCAACCTAGCCAGAACAATAATTTCCAATGAACTGTCATGCTTTTTTTGGTTTTGTCTGTTCTTAAATGAAATATCATAACGTATTTTTACAACTGCTTTGATCATTATGCAAACATTGAACTTTTATACCGAAGTAGCTGAAACGCTGAGGAGCTTTTGTGAAAGATGGAAAGTAAAACTAAATATAAAGAAGAGCCATCACCGATTAACAATACGGTTTTGTCTCCGCGGACAGAGTTAAATGGGGGAACTTCGGTAATTAGAGATGGGGGAGGGGAAGCAGTGCGCGAAACTACGGGCATCTCAGGAGAGAGACAGGAACTCCGAAATTTAGCGGACTGCTGCTGGGCTGCTCTTACTTCTCTCACATCGGGATTAGTCCTCGTAGGGTGATGTTCGTTTAAAAGTTGGCAAAGCATCAAAACCCACCTATTTCTTTTCTTATTTTGAATTCCCGACAGTTTAAAATATTATGACCGAGTTCTATCCAGCAGTGAACATTACAGAATCATTTTTTTTAAAAATCCTGTCCATTCAAATAACTTTACGCATGCACCTAAGAATTCCAAAAATCTAAAGACACTACAGTCTAAAAATACATCCGGAAAGCCAAACATTTAGTGTATTGAAATAAAAATCAATTGCTTGCATCTTTCTAAACAAATAACTGAAACGATTTAACTGATTTCCTCTGTCGTTTTCGTCTTTATTTTTGCTTTAACACTGAAAGTCAAAAGTACCTTGTAATGTTGAATAAAATAAGTAAAATATATCAGATACTTTTTTCAGCTCACTATGCACAAAGTAGCATTTAGAAACGAGCTGCTATGAGCCAGTGCCTTGCCAGATTTTGAAACTCCGTTAAAATAGGGGGCAGGAGACTTGTTGTAAATATTTCACACTTAATTCGTTTGTTATTTTAAAGTAACCCGCTCCTTACAGCTTAACTGTGGAATATATACAATGATAAGAAAAGTCCTCTTGGAATTGTAAACTTGCTTTAGCTGTCGCGATCTGAAAAAAAAATAGGTTTGTATTGGGTTACAAGATAGAAAAGATGGTTTGTTTTGATAACATTTTGACTTTGAGAGATTTGGCCATTCAAAGTGGAAGATTTCACCCAGAAGCATTCCGAAAGGCTTCTTCTGAGGTGGCTTTTAATGTGAAGTCAGAAAAGCAGACAATGCAGAATTCCAGAGTAAGTGAATCTATTGGGGAGTCTTTGCCTGAAGCTATTTAAAGTGTCTTGTGTCCAAAATTTATGTGTTGCATTGCAAACCCAAAGAAGCAGGAATCACAAATTTACACAAGCTAATCTAGCAACCTTCCAATTTCACAAAGAAACCTATCGCTAAGTCTTGGAAAATGACAAAAGGTTTTTCATCTAACGGAGTTCAGAGCTTTCTTATTCGTGACGACAGCGACGTCTTCTAACGAGCTGTGATCGATTTCAGCTCCTGCTGCCGGGGCCCGCGCGGCGAGCTCGCAGAGGAAGCGCCCTGTCTTGACTCAATTACGCTTTATTTACCGCCCTATCAGTTTACGCCTGGATGCTGGATAGAGGGACGCCGGGACCCGTAGGGGACTAGACTGAACAGCCAGAAGGGAACCGCGGGGAGGCAACTCGGTGCCGAATCCTGCCTTTGCCCTCCAAAGTCACTGCTAGCCAAAGCTCCGCTTCCTGAAACCGGCACTATTCCCCTGCCTTCCTCCGCCCTCCAGCGCCTCGCCCCGCTTTCTTTCCTCCCTTCCTTCCTTCTTCTCCGCCAGCCCGTCCCGACGGTTCCCCGCACTTCGGGTTTGCAGACGGGCTCCGGCCGCTCGGGCTGGGGCAGGCGACTCACCCCCGCTGTCCTGACAGGGAGAGGTCCTCTCCAGGCGCACGTGATGCTCCGCGCGGGGCAGGGGCCCGAAGGCCTGCACGCATTTGCCCGCCGAGGCTTTGCTGTAAAAGGACTCATTGTCCAGTGTCTGCATAACATGCTCCAACGCGCCTCCTGCGCCCATGTAAAAATCACTGTTTTTACTCGGCGGGCTCTTCAAGGCAAACTTCTCGCTCAGAAACTCCATACTCAGGGTGGCTGTCGCGGAGCTCCCGGGGCGCGGAGGCCGGAGCGCTCAGGGGGAGGGAAAGGGTGGGCGGGAGGAGGGAGGGCCGAGAGGAGGGAAGGGGAAGCTCGGGCTGCGGCGCGGGGAGCTGCCCCGCTCCCAGCCCTTTAATACGTCCCTGCTGGAAAGGGGCACCCGAAGTTGCTTTTATATCTTGAAACTCAGCTGGGCTCCTCGGGCAACCTCCCAGTTCTAATGAATATGAAAATAGGCAGGCGACTAACTCCACCCCGGGTCCCCCTCTGCCCCCACCCCACCCCACCCCACCTTCCCCCGCTTCCCCGGGCAGGGCGCTTCCAGGCCTAGGTTAGACAGACAGCTCCATTCCAGACAAATGCCAGGAAGGACGAGGCCCCGACGCCCAGAAACATTGTCGCAGCGACAGTGGACTGGCATTTCGGAAGAGCTTGGTGAGATCGCAAAGCAGTTAACCCTCCACTCCCCACTCTCCGCTCCTTCCCTGCCCGCCCGCTCCGGCCCCCACCCCGCCCCCACGCCGGCCACTTACTACCAGAAAAATTTAGAGGCGTCTTAAGAACTTGAAAGGGAGTACTGCTCTAAAGGGCTTTTATTTCATCCGTAAACCTTTTATGTGGAAGACCCACATTAATCCGAAGCCCTATAAACCAGATACGTTGGCAGCTACTAACTGGTATGACCATGGTAGAGGGGCCGCTTCTGTCCCTAACGCGGAGGAGCTCGGTGACTCGGCGCTCGGAGCGCTTTGGAGCGCGAGACCTTTCCTTTCTTGCAGGAACGCAGCGGTGGGTGGACTTGGTGGCCCTGCGTGCGAGAGGGAAGCGGAGAAAGAGGCATGGAATCTGTTATACCAATACCATCCTATTTCTACACCTTCCTACCCAGGATTCCTCTTGGTCCAGGATTTTATCATTAGATCCAGATTATTTTAAGAAAACTCGACAGGAAAAGTGCTTCCAAAGGGTCCTCAGTATAGGCGGGGGGGGGGGCGGGGGGGGCGCTTATTACACAAAAGTGTGTGTGAAAGAGGATGGCCTTCAGCGTTGTTTTTAAATACTCTTATTTTTACTCTTAAAGAAAGTCGGTGGAGTTACTTTAAAAAGCGCGTGCAGGGAGCAAGGGACACGCGCGGGGCTGGGCGCTGGAGAGAGGCGGTGTCCCTGCAGCTGGCAGGTCTGGGCCTCCTTTCCCGCCCGAGGGGATGGTAAGGAGGTTCGGCAGCTGGCCGCTCAGTGAGGGCAGGGCCGCACTGCGGAGGTGAATGATCCCTGCGTGGCTTCGGACTGACCCGGGCTTCCGAGGAGCTTGCGGCGCCAGAGGGAAATGCATTAGGGGCCTTAGGCACGAAAAGGCAGCCATTTGCAACAGGCCTCTAAAACTGGCAAATTTGGTGAAGTGCCCCCACAAGTTGGGGACCGAAGCTTGCACCTTCCAAGGGAAGCCTCTGCTCCTGGGTGTCTCGCAGAGGCCCCGCTGTGCCCGTCGCGTTTCCCCAGGCTAGCCTGACAACCATACTGCGACATTAGGCACGTCGGGGAGCCCTGGCCCAACTATGGAGGGCATCTGGACATCCGAATGCGTTCGGAAATGTGCACCCTCTTTGGGTCTTGGCTGACCCAAGACTCACTGACAGGCCCTCTTCGAGACCAGGACAGGCCGCAACTAGGGAGGAACAATTATAGACTGCTGCGCACCCAGAGCTGCTCTTAAGCGCTACCTCCGGAGGCCGGGCTGGCCCGAAACACCCAGACTGGGCCTGTTGGGAGCCGAGCTGGAGACCCGAAGCAGCATCCTCGCTTCTGCGGAGCTGGAACAGAAGCTCAGTTCACGTCGTGCCGCGCTCAGAGTGGCCTTGAACGGGCAGTCAGGTTCTGGCGAGTTGACACTATTCCTGTAATTATGTATTTTTTGCTCTATTATTATTACTGTCTCCCGAGCCCTGCATCCGGCACCAACAACAAATTGTTAAATCTCAAGGGGGCACAGTCAAAGGGAAGCTTTCTGGGACTCTGCTCCGGGAGAAAGCCAGATTGCATCAAGGCTCGGGACCTCAAAGCCTGGCATGCCCAAAAAGCCCAATAGAGCCTGGGGCACCCAGACCTTGCTTGAGGAGAAGCAGGGTCCTGGGCATGCGCTTCCTGGGCATTTTCTAGCCTGTTCCTGGGCTGCCCCTGTGGGAAAGTTGAATGTAGATTTATACACTCTGTCTTGTGTGGTTTCATGCTTTTTCATTCTCTATCCCCCTCTGTACCTTACCTTCAGATATTCTGATAGTCTGACTTTCTTTAACAAACACAGGGAGGATAAGGGAAATAACGATTTAGTAAGTTCCCCCCTCCCAAGAAACTCACAGCAGCAAGAATGCCTTGCAGACTTGAGGACATATACAAGCAACTCCTAGCTATAAACTTAGTTATGTCGTGGAGCTCTGTCAGCTTGTTTATAAATATGTGTCTTAAGAGCTCTAAATTCCCTGACAAACATTCGGTGTCTTATAAATGAAAGACATATGATGCAAGCTCTAGAGTGCCTTATACCAATGAAGGTTCAGCGTCTAGAGGAAACTACAGGGAAGCCAAGGAGGGCAGCTGCCTAGAAAGTCCTTCCCAGCCCTTACCTCAGACCCACTTTTGGTGGTGGTGGCTGGAGGAATGGGTGCAAGGTGTCACTAACTCCACTTAACATCCCTGGAAAACCCTGGAAATGCAAATCTATTACACAGAATCCTGTGTGTTTTGGGACATGTAACCACATGTGCCTATAACAGAAGAATAGCTAATGGCAAACTCCCATAAGGAATGCTTAATCTGCAGTTTTTGGCAAGAAGCGGGGTCTCTGGTTGCCAAGAGCTTCATTTAATGGATTTTGAGAGCTTGAGATGGAATTTATGGTAATAATACAGCTCTAGCCAATGGTGCATTAATAATAAATTTAAAATAACACTAGTTAAACAACAAAAATTAAATGAGTTCTGGAGGTCACAAAAGAGCAGAAATCGGATGAGATAGTGTCTCACTGTCCCTGAGACATACCTGGGTTTTTTCTCCCTGATGCTTTGACTATAACCTTCTTGGGAAATGACCATAGCATTTCAGTAAATCCTTCCAGCTACTCTATCCAGAGTGGCATGGCATGACTCTTTCCTTCTCAGCAGGCTTTCAAAACTTTCTCCTAATCCTCACTCTTTACCTCAACCCTCCCCACCTCGAAACATCACCTTGGTCAGTGCCCCAGGAGTCAGCAGCTGATAAGTAAGACCCAGTTTATTAAGTGAAGTTCTAACTGGGATTTTACCTCAGCAGGCTCAGCCCTGCACCCTCAGGCTACCACTCCCTGTTTTGTTCCACCTTTCTATTTTATCTCTGAGAGCATTGTCCATCTCTTTCTGTAAGAGAACCTGGGTTCCAATCCCAGGATTCTGCTCCCCATCTTTCATGTCAATCAAGAAATCTATGAGTAATAAAACTGCTACCCCTGCTTTTCTCCTTTGCTTTACTGATGGGCAACACTTGTAGGAGGTGGTGAGTGAGGGTGGGAGTCGGAGAGGGGCAAAGCCAGCCATCAATTTCTTTTAAAGTCTAACAAAATTTTGGACATCTAAGAATCCAGCACTTTCATATCTCTGGGTGCTGTGTAGCTATTGAAGTTTCTTCACATCTTCTTGATAGGAATGAAGTGCAGCAAAGGAATGTGCAGAGTCCAGGAAGCAAAGGGATGAGAGTTAATAAGACCTATTGCAGATTCAATTTTCCACCTCTTGGAAAAGGTTTTCTCTTCACTCCCCTGGCACCATCAGATGCTAACACAGTGGAAAGACTATTTTGTGAGATGACTCTGATGCTCTGAACCAGTTTGTGGTTGTTGCTGTTGTTATTGGTGCCAACTCCCAAAATACAGATATTTAGGGTGTTTTAGTAAAGTTTTCTTCATTTAGTTCCCTTTAGAGTCTAGAAATAAAGTAAGTGAATAAATCAAACTATTGAAAAGTTATCTGAAATAACTGTTTAACTCCTCCTCCCCCACATACAAAGGTAAGTTCAAATAAGTCAAACTCAGATAAGAGATTGCCTGTCTGTCAATTTAAGTTATTTATTATACTTTGAAAAAAAATTCAAGGTCTAAAAGCTGTTTTCAAGGCCCCTCCCCCATGAGAATATATTTTGGGAAATGAAAAATATTTGGAGTACATACATCAAAGCAGCAGCTGAAGCAATGTGTGGACCACTCTAGTTCCCTTCTCAGTTTATTGAAAGAAATGTCACACTTATACACTAATTCTGTAAATGTTAAGATAGGATTGCAAGAATTTTAATCTTAGCACTTTCTTTTTTTGCCGGTGAGTTTGAGGCATATTATCAGTAAGTAAAGCTGGGAAAAAAGCATGCTGAATCAGATGAACTGTGCCAAAGTAGAAAAGCGAGGGCCTGGAGAAAGGAGGGGAAGCTGATGGAGGGAAAACTCTCATGAAAAAGCACTAAAATAATTGAATGTCATGTATGTTGGCAAGAAGCCAGGTGGCCTCATGTTTGTGTGTGCTCCATTGCTGTTTTCTTTCCCTGGCTTCATCTTCAGCCTTCTCACAGCTCTGCAGACTGAATAGATACAGAAACATATTTTGCATCGAAGCTTCTCAAGAGGCTTTCATCAAGCTGAAAACACGCACACACACAAAGAAATATTTAAGCTTTAAAAAAATATATATGTCCCAATCTGTCATCATCTACTCTAGAAAATATACCCACAGACTAATATATAACTTTGTCACATTTTTGAAGCTAGTGAATTTTAATTAAAGAAAACATTAGCTGAATTTTAATCAATCCTGTCAGTCTCTCAAGTGTACTGTTACAAAACTCTCAAATATAATAGATTGGATTTACCTGTGATTTCAATAATAGTATTTTGGCATTTCAAAAACTCACAGGATCTTTTCAAAAGCTCTGCTTGTTTTTGAATTTCAACTTGTTTCAGTAACAGTTTTTTTACATATGTGTAGTCGCTCTTA